GGCGCACGTCGGGCAGCAGCCGCAGCCAGCCGGGCGGGCGACCTCTGGGCACGAAGCAGGCACTGGTGGGCAGAGCCCCAGCTTCTCAGCGGAGCAAGGCGCACAGTGCCACAGCTGGGGAGCGCCGGCTGCCACGCCAGCCTGGACGGCCAGGAGGAGCAAGAGCGGCCAGATGCAGGCAGCGGGGACCTCAGGCATCGCTGGGCGGGGTGGTGAACAGGACCGGTGCTCTTTGAGCGGCTGGAGGTGAGCAGTAGCGGACGATCTGTGAACAGGTGGAGGTGCGCAGTGGTGGGTGTTCTCTGAGCAGATAGAGGTGCGCGATGGCCGATGCTCCCTGAGCGGGCGGCGGTGGCTGAGGCTCGCAAGGCTCAGCGGCGCCTTATAAAGAGCGCGGGACGCGCTACCTGGACTGGGAGGTTAATGATTGGCAGCGCAGAAGCTAGGAAGCCCGCTGTTCAAAATAAGTTTGTTTTGAACTTGCACCCAAGGCCTGCGCAAACCATGGGCGGAAGAAGAGTAAACGGTGCCGGTTTCAGACTCTGTTTGTCCTGTTGTTATGGGGTTCAGGCCTGGAGCTAAAGTCCAGTTCAACAAGCTCACGCATCCACTGGGGGATGGGACTTGTTTTGTTCCATAGGTGTCCAGGGCCTGGCCTGGCACTCTTCAACCGGCCCAGTACAAGTTCACCCACCTGCATCCAGTGGGGAAACCAAGACCCAGGGCAAGGAAGGAAGGGTTAGGGGCGGAGCACAGGTCTCCGGGCTGCCTCTCCTGACTGTCTCTCCCTCTGTAGACAGAAGGCCCCAGTGGAGGAGACCCACAGCTCGTTCCCACTCTGCCAAACAGAGAGAGACTTTGTTAACTGCACCTCCACAGGGAGAAAGGCTCTCAGCCTTAAGTAACAGCACCGGCCTGCTGTAGTGGAGCAGGACCCCAAACTGACTTTCTGGGTTAGGCAACTATACGTCAGTAGTCAATCAAAGCCTTCTCCTTTAGCTGAAATTTCCACTTCTTGAATATGCTCTTGGGTCCTAAGAAAAAAGTCAGCATGCCTTGTAAGGACATGAACCCAGGAGTTCCCAGCACTTGCTCCATAGCCTCCAGAACAAGACTGTGGTTGGGAACCGTGCCCCCCATGCCTGCCCCTTGCCTCCCAAGGAGTCCCCAGGCCTACATGTCCCCACCATCTATCCAATCTGTGCCTCCTGGTCCAGGCAGACTCAAGCCCTGGCCTGGGCCTGCCGTTGCCCTTGAGGTCCTCTGAGAGCAGCATTGCAGACATGGGGCATTTGAGTTGACCTGTGCAGTCCCTCACTACAAAGGCACGCTCTGAGGCCAGGAAAGGAAGGACATTGCCGGGTCAGACTCGTGGAGTCTGTGGTCGCTCATCCTAAGAAGCCACCTGCCTGAGGCCCCCTTGCATGGTCCTGCTCTCCGTAGGTGGGCTGTAACTGGATGCCTTTCTCTATGCTTTGGCTAACATGCTCTACACGGCTGCAGCAGCACCTGGAAGCCAACCTTCCGTTCATTGGTGGAAGATCATTGGTGCTCCCTGCAGAGCAGGAGTGAGGGAAGGGAACAGGAGGGACTGCAGGGTCTGCAAACTGGGATGGGAGACACCTGTGCACACAACGCCACCCTCAGCTATTCATCCTGCAGACAAGGAGGCAGATGCAGGGATCATTTTAGGCCCATGAGAAAAGAGGAACAACCTACTCTCTACTTCAAGGCCACTCTACAAACACCCTGGAAGTCTGTCGCCAGGTCCTAGCTAAGTGGACCCTGGTGTGGTCTTTCTTGGGAAAGAGGCGGCTCTTCCCAAGGAAATGCAGGTCTCTATTTTCTGATAGGGAAGAACCCTACAAGATAAGTAAAGTATTCAAGTAAAATCTCCCAGGTTAAGTCAGTAAAAGTGAGAAGGTACAGACTGTGTGCAGTAAAAGCAGTGTGACTCTACTGACTGTCTTGAGAAGCTGATAGTGATGCCTACTTGGGGCTGTGTTGGAATTAGTGACAGGGATAGATGGGACTTCCCTGTATGCCCTTTCCTAACCATCTGTATCTGTCCGATACATTTCTGTTAGTCATCTGTCTAAAGAATAACCAGATTGGGGGACCAGCAGTTAGCATAATGGCTATGTTGCTGGACTCCCATGTAGTTGACTGTGGTTCGAGTCCCGGACCCAGTGGCTTAAACTCATGCTGGGCGCATGTGCATGCGTGCCCAAGAAAGGAGAAAGGAGAAAGGAGGAGAAGAGATTGTGGTGTGGCCATCCCCCCTGGGGGTTGATTTCTCGCTTTCTGTCTCTCTGTCTCTCTGTCTCTCTCTGTCTGTCTGGCGAGCGCACGTGCCCTATAGTGAAAACTTCTCAAAAAAAAAATAAATAACCAGATTGGAATTAATTTACCACCTCTGTTCTAGCCAGTCTCCTGGCTCTGTGGCCCCTCCCTGCTTTACAGATGCAGTTGGGGTACATAGCACCGTGGGGGCGATGGTGGCTCCTCAGCCATGAGCAAAGTCATGACAGCTGGAAATTCCTCTGGTCAAGGAACCAACCAATAATGTTCAGGTTTTTAACATTATTTCTTATGAACATCCTTAAATAATTTCATCTCCAGAAAAAGAATCTGTGTTCTGCATTTTCCCGTTGACTTCCTCGACAGGAATCAGTTTCCACAGGAAACGGGGGACCTTTCCTATCAATAAGTACTTGGGGCTTGACTCCTGTGTGCTTGGCCGCAGGCCTGGCCGTGTACAGTTCACTGGGTTGCACATTTGCCTGGTGCTCTACCCACCTACCCTCCCTCCCTGCGTTCTCGCTCGTCCTGCACGTAGTGGAAATTCCTCCCTTAAAGGATCGATTTCCCAAATGTTTCCATTGCTTGCTTCACAACAACAGCAAACTAAGCAGCCAACAAACCTAGAGATGAGCTCTCCGACTCCCAACTCTGTCAACACAGTCAGAGCCGGGCCCCTTCCCCAAAGCGTGGGTAGGCCTCCTGTCTATGTTGTCCTGTGGGGTACAGGTCCGAGTCAGGGCTGAGGTGGCTCGAGTGCCCATTTCTCATGCATCTGTGAGGCCCCAGTGCGCCACCCCCTCCCAAATCCTGATCTGGCATTTGTACTCCCTGAGGTCGGACCCCCAGGGCCTGCCAGGGTAAGGATGAAGTGGGTGAGGCCTGAGGACAAGGCATGAGGGGAAGGGCTGCCTCTTGTGACAGCAGTCTGGGATGGTCCCTGGGAGAGATACCACCAATCCGTTGTGCCTCACTCAGTCTCTCCACCTGCAGAATCCTAGTCCCAGCCTGCAAATCCTGCTCGTTTTCCAGCTTAATATGCCCACCCACCCCATTCATTAAGATCAACTTTGGAGGACCAGCAGATGGTATAGTGGTTACATCACTGGACTCCCACATGGCAACTGCAGTTTGAGTCCTGGACCTGGTGGCTTCAAACTCATACCAGGCACATGGGTGTGTGTGCCCAAGATCCCAGGAGAATGGAGAAGGGATTGCAGTGTGGCCATC